CTATGCCTTCGTCTTGTCGAGATAACGGATGATGAAAGGATCGAATTGTACAGTAACCATATCATTGACAGGTAGCTACTTTGCTGAATCCAAATCTATCGAGTGGCCATGATGCCTTGCTAGGGGCCAATCTTGGTCTGTGTATTAGTGAGACGATTACTTGTGTTAATCATGATACTATACACTACCGGTATGATGAGGAGCCAATGGGTCACACACATAGAAAATAATTTAAGACTCAGGAAGAAAGAAGGACGTTTTTGTCTTTTTGGGCGAAAGGGTATTTTGGTAATTTCACTGTGCAATTAAATTTTCTGAGGTCGTAGCCTTTATTTAATTTATTAGAAAAAATAAATAAGTGAAATTACGTTTAAATATGTGTTCTCATGTATTTAATTAAATCATCATCATTGTTAAATGTTAATATATATAGATTAAATATATATATTAATTGATTTTAATTGAAGATAATGATAAATTAAAATAAATATCTAATTGGGAGTGTTTGGTAACATGGGTGTTTGGGTTGGGGTCCAAGCCTATTCCATATTGGAATAGGGTAACTAATTTTTACTATAAAAGAAAATGTTTCTTTGTAAAAATTATAACTTTTGATTCATCACTATTTCATTGAAAAAGGAAGATGAGCATAGCCCCAAATCTCTCTCCCACGCCAGTTTTGGTTTTGCCTAAAATCAAATACATTTCATCATTTTTCTTCTTGTTTCTTAAGGCTAAGGAGGATCTAGCAAATCCCTCCTTAGTTCCTTGTGATTGTCTTCGTGTGGACTTCGTGGGTTCGATCCTACGCTTGGATCGGTAGCAAACACATTCAAAGATAAAGTTAGAGGAGCCTCCAAATGTTGGTATGATTCTTAAATCTTGAACAGATTTTTCTGTAGATTTGTTTATTTTCTGTAAACTGTGATTTTTGTACCCGGATCTTGGTTCTAAGGAACGATCCATGTAGTTTATGTTTTTGTTTTCCTCAGTGTATATGGGTCGTTCACTAACAGCAAGTGAGATTGATAATGTGAGTTTAAATCAAGATTGTAATTTGTAGTCTTGAGGTGTTAATACTAGTGCAGTGAGTCTCCATGTTCTGGAGCTCAATGTGGATGTAGCTTGTTCAATCTTGAAGAAGTGAACCACAGTAAAATTGTGTTTTTCTTTGTGTTCTTTGTTTTTAGTTTGTGAATGCTTGATTAGTTGTAGGATTACATAATTAGGCTCAAATTTATAAAGTGGCATCAGGGCTGGAGTCCCAGGGTTCTTCTATTCCTTAAATCAATCCAAAATTGGCAAAGTTACAATTTCTAAGGTTTTGTCAAAATTAGGGGTTTTTCGGTTTATTGTTTTCTAGACCTCTACGGTTTCCAAATCTTTTCGTCTTTATTCAATTCTTGAATATTAGAGATCAATTTCGATCTCAAAGGGCGAAGTTAAAAAAATTGAGCAAAGATCAGTTAGTGATTTATAGGGTTTGCTTCTGAACCCAAATCATGAGTACTACTATGCGTGGAAATCTCCCAGTATGATGGGAAGATGGACTTCAAAACTTGGAAAAAGATGATGAAGGCTCTTCTTTCCCATAACAAGGTGGGTATAGCTCTAGAGAAAGATGCCACTAAGTGGTCTGAAGACAAGTTGAAGAAGAAGTCTGAGGTAGACGAAAAGGCCTACAATCTGATCATTATGAATTTATCCGACAACATGTTGTGAAAGGTAGATGGCCTAGACACACCAATCTCACTCTAGGATAAACTCAAAGCCTTATATGCATTACAGTCTACTCCTAATTTAGCTTTTTTAAAGGGTGCACTGTTTTCTTATAAAATGGATGTTTCTAAGTCATTAGAAGAAAACCTAGATGAGTTCTTAAAGATGACATTAATACTGAAAGGTATTGATCATGAATTAGGAGATTCAAGCCTTGCAATGATTTTGTTAAACTCTTTACGTGATGAATATTTAGTAGTAAAGAATGCATTGTAGTACACTGGGACAGTTCCTTGATTTGATAATTGGTGGTCTGAAATCAAGAGAACTTGAGTTAAAAATCCAAAAAAGAAACGGCAACAATTTGTTTGTGAGAGGTTGGATAGACTCTTGATAGTTAGGAAAAGAAAATGGTAGAAGTACCCAACACAACTTAGGTTTTAAGAATAAAAAGAAGGGAAAAGCTAACAATAAACCTAAGGCAGAGACTAGGAAGTGTTTTCATTGCAATAAGCCTGGACACCTTAAAAAGAATTGCTATGATTGGATTAAGATGAAAAAACAGACTAATACTGAAAGTAACCTAGCATGCACTAGCAATAATATTGAAATTACTGAAGCACTCACTGTCTAAAACTATGCTAGTGTTAATGAATGGGTGTTAGATTCAGTATGCTCTTTCCACATAAATCTTAACAAAGGTTGGTTCCAAGATCTGAAAAATGGCAAACCTGAAACTGTGTTCATGGGAAATGACCATTCTTGTAGGATTCAAGTTATAGGTAACATCACCATTAGACTAAATAATGGTAAGCTCATAATGCTAACAAGTGTTAGATACGTAGCCAAACTTAAACGAAATATGGTCTCATTAGGAACCCTTGATGAAGCTGGATGTAGCTATAAGGCACAAAATGGTTGCATATCTGCATATAAGAATGATCAAATATTACTTGAAGGGGTTAAAAAGCATGGTTTGTCTATTACGTGTAGGTAATATTACCCAAATGCTTTCAATTTTTCTTTCATATCAACTAACATTTCTTCTGCAGAGAAATGGCATTTAAGAATAGGCCATATAGACTAGACAGGTGTGAATACATTGAAATAGTAGGGTTATTTTGGTAATGAAAATGTATCTAACCTAAGTTTCTATGAGACCTGTATTTTGGGTAAATAACACAGGCTAAGTGTCCCAAAAGGAACTCACTTGGCTACGAATTATCTAGAGTATTTACATGCTAACCTATGGGGTCTAGAAAGGGTTAGATCACATGGAAGGAGTAATTACTTCCTATCCATTGTGGATGATTACAGTAGCAAGGTATGGGTATACCTTCTTAGGTCTAAGGATGGGGCTTTAATTAAATTTAAGGACTGGAAAACCTTGTAGAAAAGAAAGTTAAAGCCCTTAGGACAGATAATGGATTGGAATTATTTAACTCTGATTTTGATGCATACTGTAAAGACCAAGGGATTTCGAGGTATAGGACAATTGGAAGGACTCCTCAACAAAATGGAGTTGTTGAGAGGATGAATAGGACTTTACTAGAAAAAGTCAAGTGCCTTTTATTTACTGCTAAGTTGCTGATAAGTTGCATAATTTGAGTGTTTTTAGGGTTGTTTTGATGTTAGTTTAGTTAACTTCTCATTTGTTTCCTTTGTTTTTATGATTGTTTTTGTTAAGTTTGAGATATGAATGGTTACCTATTGATTTGGATAACTTTTGTGTTTTTTTAGGCTTTGATTGAGTAGATTGGAATATTGGAATGAAATTGGAACTTTAAGCTTGAAGAAGTTGAGATTACACTTCAGTCTTGAAGGCCACGACCATGCCTTGGTAGTTCACCATGGCCATGGTGATGAAATAAAGAGAAAACAAAGAGACCAAGAAGCACCACGGCCTAGGCTGTGGTGACTTAAATTTGGCCACAGCCAGGGTTGTGGCGGAAACTATTAGGGTGTTTTTATCATTTTTTCTTTCCTTTTTCACTTAGGACTCTTTTGGGTATTTAAGAATAATTGGGATCAGTTGTCAAGGGACGAATTTTGCATATTTTTGAGAGGAGAAGACGCATTCTTGGGGCTTGAAGAATGAAGATCAGATTTAAGAGTTTGATTTTTATTTATTTTCAAGTTTGATTATGTTTTCTTTCTTCTCTATTTATTTCTTTTTTCTTAGGATGAAGTAAATCTCTTTTTTTAGGGGAGGATGAAACCCTAATTATGTTTTGAACAAATTTTTATTCTTAATACCAGATTTATGTTTATGAATTTATGAAAGAGTTTAGGTTTAATGCTTTATGAATGTTGGATTTATTTAATTACCTTAATGATGTTTCGAATAGAGAAGTTAGGGTTTATTGCTTAATTCATATTCATAATTGTTTTATAGGGATAACATTGCACAACATATTAAAACTAGAATTAATCGAATAGAGATTCTAGGATTAATTTGTGGTCCATCTAATTCATAACCGAATCAGGCAAATTAGTCATAAGGGATTGATGAATTTATGCTTCTTAATTTCAGAGTAACCAAATAGGGATCTGTATTAAGTTGAATATTATGCCTGAATAAGGATAATTGACCTTAGAAGAATCCTACCAATTCATAGCACAAATTGGTATTAAGAGTGGTTGTCAAGCATAATTAGGGGGAAATCTGTACCTAACTTCATTAATATTGAAAAGTTCATCACATTATTTATTTATTTAATTTAGTTATTTTTAATCCGTTACTTTTACACTCTAAGATTTCGTTTTCTCAAATAACGTGTAAGTAGTTTTAGGTAATTACAAATATTCGCTTTGATCTCTGTGGGACGATACTCAAACTCATCACTTTACTACTTGAATACGACTAGTGCACTTGCTAAGGTTGATTTAGTCGCATCAAGTTTTTGGCGCTATTGTTGGGGATCATTAGATTGTTTGTGATTATTTCAAGATTACTTGTTACTTTCAGATTTTTTTTTAATTTTGTTTGTTTGTTTTTTTTTTTTTTTCAAACCAATAGGTGTTTCTGCTAGTGTATTACCAGAGCTTCTGGAAAGATTTTACTAGCATTTGATCCTGAGATAGAGCGCACTTTTAACGCAAGAAGGAGAGCAATCAAAAGGGACATCATGGGTGATCACAATAACCCAAATAATGGAACACCACCAGCAACTCGTACACTAAACGAGTACTCTACCCTATCTCTAAATGGAGCAACATGGAGCATTCGACAACCAGTGATCAATGCCAACACTTTTGAGATAAAGCCAGCAATCATCTAGATGATTCAGCAGTCAGTGCAGTTTGGTGGTTTGACACATGAAGATTCTAACTTACATATTGCAAATTTCCTGGAGATTTGTGATACTTTTAAGCACAATGAAGTTTCCGACGAAGCTATGAGACTAAGATTGTTCCCATTTTCATTAAGAGACAAAGCTAAGAGTTGGTTGACCTCATTACCATTAGGCTCGATTACAACCTGGGAGCAAATGACACAAAAATTCCTGAGTAGGTATTTTCCTCCTGCAAAGACTGCACAATTGCATTATGATATTACTATGTTTGTGCAGGTGGATACATAGTCACTATACGAAGCATGGGAAAGGTTTAAGGACATGCTCTGAAGATGTCCCCGCAATGAATTACCGATTTGGTTGCAAGTCCAGACGTTCTATAATGGTCTTAATAGTGAAGTTCAAAATATGATCAATGCTGCTGTGGGTGGTACTTTAGGTAAGAAGACACCAGAACAAGCTTATGAATTGCTGGAGGAAATGGCTTCAAACTCTTATCAATGGCCGATAGAGAGGTTGCCTGTGAGAAGAACATCAGGTGTTCATAACATAGATGCTATCACAGCTTTGGCAGCACAAATGCAGGCATTAAATAAGAAGATTGATGGACTTCAAATGCAAAAACCTACAATAGTTGCTTCTATGTGTGATTTTTGTGGCGAAGATCACCTAACCATGAGTGTTAATCAGGTAACATGTTTGCGTTAATTCTATGCCTAATCAAGCTAACTATGCTTCAAATTTTCGTAGGCCTAATAATAATCCATACAGTGAAACATATAATTCAGGGTCACCCAAATTTCTCTTGGAGTAACAACAATCAAGTGAAACCTCCACCGCCAGGTTTTCAATCTCAAGAGAAGAAATCAAATTTAGAGGAGATGATGGCGAAGTTCTTGAGCACTACAGAAACAAGAATCCAGAATCAAGAGGCTTCCATCAATAATTTAGAAGCTTAAATTGGCTAGTTGGCCAGTATCATTTCGGTAGACAGCAAGGGCATTTACCGAATGACACGAAAAGGAACCCCGAAGAAGTAATGTAAGGTCATAACCTTGAGGGATGGAAAGGTGATTGGTGAAGAAGAATCACAAAAGAAGGCGGAAAGTGAAACAGAGTTACCGGTCTCTATTGAAGACAAGAAAGCGAATTCAGAAAAAGAGACAAAGCCTAAGGTAAGGGAAATTGCAAGAGGTAAAGGAAAAGGTACGTCAAATTATGATTATATTGTTGTTGAAAAAGATGTATCTAAATTTCCTTATCCCGATAGAATTAGAAAGGATAAACTGGATCAACAATTTTCAAAGTTTTTAAAGGTCTTTAAGAAATTGCAAATAAATATTCCATTTGCTGAAGCTTTAGCATAGATGCCTAGTTATGCAAAGTTCTTAAAAGACATCCTTTCTAACAAGCAAAAGATCGAGAAGCATGGAACAGTTATGCTCACTGAAGAATGCAGTGCCATACTACAAAATAAATTACCTCCTAAACTGAGAGATCTAGGGAGTTTTACTATACCTTATGCATTAGGAGATTCATTCTTTGATAAAGCATTGTGTGATTTAGGTGCTAGCATTAATTTAATGCCTTTATCAATTTTTAGGAAGCTAGGACTTGGAGAAGTGAAAGAGACGAACATGTCACTCTAGCTTGCTGATAGATCAATAAAACGACCTAAAGGAATTGTTGAAGACATTTTGTTAAAGGTCGACAAATTTATCTTTCCGGTGGACTTTGTAGTTCTTGATATGGAGGAGGACCGGGAGGTGCCTCTAATTTTGGGACGTCCATTTTTAGCAACAGCTCGTGCTCTGATAGATGTGCAACAAGTAAAATTAATTCTAAGACTAAATGACGAAGAAATAGTGTTTGATGTCTATAAAGCGATGAAAAATCCTACTACATTTTATATTGAATCTTGTTTTCACTTTGACAGCTTTGGTGGGATTGTAGGTGATCACAGAGAAGAAGTTTTGCAGAAGGACTCTTTGGAGAGATGTCTAATGGAGTCAAGCACAACGGAAGATGAAGACTCGTGCTTGAGAGAAGAAGCTGAAGCGTTAGAGAAAGAATCTTTGACTGATAATAATATTGAGCTAAAGGAGGATTTGCATAAAACTCCTAATGAGGCTTCTAAACTTGAGCTTAAACCTCTTCCTTCACATTTAAAATATGCTTTTCTAGATAAAGATGCTTACCCTGTGATTATTTCTGCATCTTTGATAGATTTGGAGGAGAAGTCACTGCTAGAGATTTTGAGGAAGCACAAGAAAGCGATGGGATGGACAATTGCTGATATCAAGGGAATAAGCCCTTCCATTTGCATGCATAAGATCCTCATGGAAGAGAATTTCAAGCCAACAATACAACCGCAATGGAGATTAAATCCTGCCATGCAAGAAGTGGTACGAAAGGAAGTGGTAAAATTACTCGATACAGGTATTATTTATCCTATCTCTGATAATAATTGGGTTAGTCCTGTGTAAGTAGTGCCTAAGAAAGGGGGAATGACGGTAGTGAAGAATGAAAATAATGAGCTTATCCCCACTAGGATGGTAACTGGATGGCGTGTGTGTATAGACTATAGAAGATTAAATTCTGCCACTAGAAAAGACCATTTCCCATTGCCATTTATTAATCAGATGTTAGAGAGATTAGCGGGTAATAAATTTTACTGTTTTCTTGATGGCTATTCAGGTTATTATCAAATTCCTATTGCTCCAGAGGACCAAGAGAAAACAACTTTTGCTTGTCCTTATGGCACGTTCGCTTATCGACGTATGCCATTTGGTTTATGTAATGTGCCAGCTACTTTCCAACGTTGCATGATGGCAATTTTCTCTGACATGATTGAAAAATTTCTAGAAATTTCCATGGATGATTTTACGTTGTATGGACTAACCTTTGAATCTTGTTTGCAAAATCTTGCGTTAGTTTTACAACGTTGTGAGGAATCAAATCTTGTGCTGAATTGGGAGAAGTGCCATTTTATGGTACGAGCAGGTATCGTGCTTGGACACAAGATCTCTGAGCGAGGGATTGAGGTCGATAAAGCAAAAGTGGAAGTGATTGAAAAATTACCTCCCCCAATGACTGGTCGAGCAGTCAAAAGTTTCCTTGGCCATGCAAGATTTTATAGAAGATTTATTAAAGATTTCTCAAAAATTGCAAAACCTCTATCTAATCTTCTTGCCAAGGATGTAAAATTTAACTTTTATTCTGAATGTTTGTAGGCCTTTAATTTGCCAAAGGAGAAGCTAGTGACAACACCAATAGTGGTCGCACCGGATTGGAACAACCCCTTTGAAATTATGTGTGACACAAGTGACTATGCCATTGGTGCTGCTCTCGGTCAAAGGAAAGACAAAATGTTTCAGGTCATGTCCTATGCCAGTCATACCTTAAATGGTCTGCAACTGAACTACACAACAACCGAGAAAGAATTACTAGCAATGGTCTCTGTATTTGAGAAGTTTAGATCTTACCTCATAGGCACGAAATCTATAGTCTACACAGATCATGCAGGTCTACGACATTTTTTTGCTAAGAAGGATGTCAAACCATGCCTTCAGATGGGTCCTTCTACTTCAAGAGTTTGATTTGGAGATTAAAGATCAAAAGGGGACAGAAAATCAAGTTACTAATCATTTATCCTGACTATATAATTCCATCCTTGAAGAGGGAGATATTAGTGTAGAATTTCGTGATGAGCGAATTCTATCTCTTAACTCTTCTTTTTCTAAATCTCCATGGTTTGCTGATTTGGCTAATTTTCTTGTAGGAGGCTGGATTCCAAAGCATTTTACATTCTAGCAAAGGAAGAAATTTTTGGCTGATGTCAAATTTTATTTGTGGGAAGACCCTTACTTGTACAAACTATGTGCATATCAAGTTGTTCGAAAATGTGTGCCAGAAGAAGAGATTTGAGCTATTTTGAGTCATTGCCATGATAGAGAAATCGGAGGGCATTTTGGGGCGAATCGCACAGCGGCAAAGGTGTTGCAATCAGGCTTTTATTGGCCCACTGTGTTTCGGGATGCTCAAAGGTATGTATCCTCTTGTGATCGTTGCCAAAGAACAGGTAATATTTCTAAGAAAGATGAGATGCCTTTAAATAATATATTGGTATGTGAAATTTTTGATATTTGGGGTATTGATTTCATGGGACCGTTTCCATCATCGTATGGAAACGCTTTTATACTTGTGGCAATAGATTACATTTCTAAATGGGTGGAGGCAATTGCCACCAAAACTAATGATTCTAGAACAGTATTCCAATTCCTTAAGCGGAATATTTTCACTAGATATGGAACTCCCAGGGCAATCATTAGTGATGGTGGGAAGCATTTTTGTAATCGCCAATTTGATGCACTCTTAAAGAAATATGGAGTCACACACAAGGTAGCCACTCCCTACCATGCCCAAACTAGTGGTCAAGTAGAGGTCTCTAATAGAGAGCTAAAACGAATTTTAGAGAAGACCGTTAGTGCCTCTAGAAAAGATTGGGCGATAAAGTTAGACGATGCTTTATGGGCATATAGGACAACCTTTAAAACACGTATAGGTATGTCACCTTATAGGTTAGTATTTGGAAAAGCATGTCACCTGCCAGTAGAATTAGAGCACAAAGCTTATTGGGCTACTAAATTTTTGAATTTTGATGTGCAAAGTGCAGGTGCTAAACGTCTTTTGCAGGTGAGTGAGCTAGATGGATTTCATCATTGGGCATACGAGAGTGCTAGTTTGTACAAGGAAAAGACAAAGAGATGGCATGATAGGCACATTGTGAAAAAGGAGTTTGAGCCAGGACAACAAGTTCTTCTTTACAATAGTTGTCTTCATCTTTTCCCAAGAAAGCTGAAATCAAGATGGACGGGTCCATATGAGGTAATTCAGGTAACACCTTTTGGAGCAATTGAGATCCACCATGGAAAGACAGGTGAAACATTTAAAGTTAATGGACACCGTTTGAAGCACTATGTTGGAGGACGTTTCGATCCAAACACCGCATCCGTCCAGTTTCTTGAATGAAGAAAGTGGAGAAAGTCAAGCTAAAGACTCTAAATTAGAACTATAAATTTTTTTTCTTTTCTCTCTCCTACAATTATTTTATTTTTGTTTGATTTTGTTTTTATTTGTGTTTTGTTATCGTTGGAACAAGGAACAAGTTTGGGGGAAGCTTAAGTGATAGAAGAAGAAGACAATTTTGAGCAAAATAAAACATGGGCTACCCTGTGTTATTTTACACAGTCGTGGCCATGTTAAAAGATAAAAGGCTTGCAGATTCCAGTCTTCACCATGGGGTACCCTGTGTCAATGTACACAGCCGTGGCCATGTGAAAAAAAAAAAAAATCTCCTCTTTTTTAGGGAAGTTTCTCTCTTTTATTTTCCATATTTTCTATTTTGGTTTTTGTTTTTCATGAATTGAGGACATTGCATTCTTTAAGTTTGGGGGAGTGAGCAGTTTGATTTGTGTTACATTGATGTTTGATTTGTGTTGCGTTATTGTTTGGTTTGTGTTGCATTATTGATAATCTGTTTCTTTTGTTTGGTGGGTTTGTTTTTAGGAAGTGTTTAGTTTATTTTTGTGTTTTTGGTTTGCAATTTGTATTTGTTGCATGGTGGTTATTATGCTTGTGCTTTTGATACAATCCCGAACATAACTTTGTGATATCCCCAAAGAAAAAAAAAATTTTTTTTTGTGATGAACTTTGCAATCATTTTGAGTAGTGGTATTATCAAGTCATTTACAGGATTCAAACATTCTCATATCTTTAGGAATGCTGAAGAGTTTGCAATTCTAGATGGTTGTGCAAATCTAGTTTATTACTTGACTTTGTTGTGTACTAGCTGAGCCTTGTCTTCACTCCCTAAACCAAAAAAAAAAAAAAGTATATACAGTCTTGAAATAAATTAACTATGCTTATTTGTTTGTTTTTGAATGAACTACTCCACTGT